ACACAAGCGTGATCAGCTCTTGCTTCCCATGTCACTGGTAGCTTCGTTGGACACAGACCCAGTGACATGCTGTGTCCCCCTGCAGATTAAACATTGAGACCTTGGCAAACAGGTGTCCACAAACACACACACACACACACTAGCAGATTTGTTAACATGGTTTGAGTGACGGACAGAATGGGACGAGACTCTGCAGCCAGTGAGTCGGACCAAGCTCCTGACTCGGGGTTGCTGGGTGCCCACGTGCCTCAGACGCGAGGGGAGTCACTTCATGCACAGAGCATTCGCGAACCGGGGCGAGAACATTCTGGTCGATTCCCAGGGATTCCAGCACGTCCTCAGCAGCAGCTCTTCTGAAGACTCTATCCTCCCAAACGGGGCTGATGGATTTCTAATTCAAAATGCGGCTTGCAGCACTGAGCCTGATGCCAGGCGCTTGTGGCGCTTTGCTTCCGGCGGCTTCTCGCTCTTCCGCCCCCTCGACACAGGGTGTGTCGCGAGTCGCGACACCAAAACATGTCAAAAACAAATTCTCGGAAGCACACCCAAGGCCCCCGAGGCCCAGAAGCGCGTTCAGTCTCATGGCGCGAGCAACATCTTCTGAGTGCTGCGTGAGAGAATCCAGTGCTGTCAAGAGGCTCTCATCATGACTAAACTTGACCAAACACAATCAAGAAAGGTCCAGGTCATGTCATGTGAAAGCACGAGACCTTGGATGAAGACGTGCTGAGGACAAGAAATCAAGGTCTTCGCGTTCTCCTGTCAGTGCTCTGTGTCCCACGACCGTGCTTTGAATTCATCCTTGTCTGCAGAAACTCCATGCAGAGCACAGTGCTACGAGGCAGACCGGAAGTGCAAGCAGAGTTTTTCCCTTTTCATGCAAAGAACTCCGTTCAGAAGTCAGCTCGTTTCAAGAGCACATAACTACCACTGAGCAATACTCGCAGCTGCTTCAGGCTGCGGGTAGCTGCCGGTAGCCGTGGGCCACAGGGTCTTGACCACCTTGGGCGCCGATTTCCTGCATTGTCCCATGCTTGTACCAGCAACTCCGGCACAACTTTCGGTGCCCGAGTATTGGCCGGGACTTTTTTGAACCGTCGGGACCAGACCAGTGTGTGCCTCACTTTTCCAGGTTGATGCTGGTCCCGAATTTGGCATAAAGCACCTCCACACGAACAAAGCTTCGCCAAACAACCCTAGCCCCGCGTCGGGAAGCCCGTCCAGCTGCAGTTAACAACTTCCAGCGCACATGTGAAAGGGCCTTCTTCAAAGAGTCCAGCTCACCCCGCACAGTCTCGATCTCGTCCGACTTTTGGGACAATGCGGCCTACACCAAACCACAGAAAGTGTCGCAACACAGGATCCGGCAAATTCCGGCCTCAGACTTCTCGATGAGGTTCGCAAGCTTCTCCAGCACAGAATCCTTTCACTTATTTTTCTGTAGCCTCCTTTCCCTCTTTACTGACTTTACTGAAATCCACAAGTTCTGCCAGCGGGTTGGCTCGGCCGGACATAGACGCACAACCCAGCATCACTATGCCGCTCAGTCTTAATTGTCAGGATTTGCCAGGCCTCATCAACAGGGGTAAAAACCTCGCCAAGCTTCACCATGATCCCGTTGTCTTCCATGCAGCCTGACCGATTCGTAAAGCCAGCAAACAACCCTCTACTCTACATTCGCAACGTTTGCGCGAGCGTGGACGCGCAATCGTTCTGAGAGAAGCGGTGCTCCGACTCACAAGCGCCATGATACGCATTTGCTGATCCGCACTCAAGCTTGAACTCACACAAACACCGCGCCTTCGATCTCCTCCGTTGCATCCTGACAGCCGTTCTTTACAGGCTTTGACAGACTTCAGCCTTGTTAAGCTTCCTGCTACAATGTGTCAAGCTTCTGTAGATGCACAGACGAATAAAACAGCAAACTATGCGCAGGGTTTGCACCGTGGGCGTGGAAGCATCAGCCTCTTGAAGCTGAGTGTGCCTTGTACGTTTGAACATCCTTTTTGATCTTGGCGATCTCCTCGTCCAAATCATCATACCTGCCGGGCGCTGCTTGTGCCAGCAGTGAGGGGCCGAGGAGCCAAGGGTTCCCGCTTACTCTCGCACTCACTAGCATGGAGCTTTTAATGCATCCGAGAATCCGAAGATTCCTCGTCAACACATGTGTCTGCTGTCGCACAAGGCATAACAGCAGACACAGACAAGAACTCGCACTGTCTGCAACGACCACACCCCGTTGCGACCGGGCGTCAGTCTGCTGAAGCGGTTTATTCTCTGCTGATCTTCTCGAGCCACCTGCTCCGATCTCGCTGAAGCCGAACCAAACAAACTAGGAAAAAGCCAGAGCCACTGCAGCTCATTACAGCCATGACAGCATGGGTGCACCTCGATGTCTTTCTGTTCCACGTCCTCGGGTATGTGTGTCGAGCAATAAACCGTGCTTCCCAGTCTCTGCCGAGTAAGGCCTCAACTGACATTGCGGCAGGAGCTGCAGGTACTGACACCGAAACTCAGAGTGATCCTTCCTAATGGCCTTGCGTGCGCTACGCTACGCGTTCGTCCGACACTTGCTGTGCTAGCCATGACTGTCGCATTTAGTATGTCCATGACAAGCCGCGAAGTTTGCCTGAGCCACATCAGACGAACAGGTAATCAATTGGAAACCTGGTATCGTGACTTCAACCGGAGGCAAAACTCATCCTGCGACCAAGTCTCACGAACACGATCCCGCCGCGCCACTAAATTTTTGCAGTAATTACAATTACTAGGACCCTAGGTAGCCACGAGTCTGTCCGCTGGGCTCAAGGCTGCACACTGTACTTGGCCAGAACCCTGTCGAAGCCAACACGAACAGCATCTGCAACCGATGCATTCACCGGCATGAGAGCTAAGGAAAATTCTTTTCAAGTGTCATGTCTGCATGGCACTCCTGCAGAGGTCAGCTTCTGCTTCGCAGACCAACCCGGCGTGCACGGAAGGGCAGAGCTGGAGGAAAAGTTCGGAAGCTTCCTCTTGCCAACTTTTGCATGCGTGCGCCATGGTTCAGACTTTGTCCTCCACTCCGTTGCGTGCCAGCGCACTGCTAGCGCTGCTTGTCCAGGTCTGGCAAGCGATGAGTCCTGGAAGACGCAGCAAAACCCGCGGAGCTGCCAGCACACGGTCTGCAGCCACACTGGGAAGCCTTCCATAAGCATCTCGAGCCCAAGCTCGATCAAATTCATCCCAATACAGCATCTCCGCCTCGGGAAAAAAAAGCACAAGAGGCGCAACTCATGCAGCAACCTGAGAAACTTGCAAACATAGCTGCCCACCCGTAACACGAACTAGTGGCTGGATTTCCTTGATCCACTGAACGACTCCGCCGGTAAAGGCCAAAAAGCATGGCGACCTAGGTGAAACAACAACATGTTTCGATGCCGCGAAGACTTCGAGCTCTTTCGGTGATGAGGACCCTGCAAACCATAGTGGCACCACAAGTGGCACAAATCTAAGAAGTGATTCGAAAAGACCTCGGTGACCACGCCAGGGCATAGGGCTGTGGGCCCGTAAGCGAGCCAGCAAACACTAGAGGAAGTCCTGTCGAAAACTTCGATGTCACAAGATGAACGAACCCTACACTGCGTGCATGGAGACAGCATGCCCGATAGAGCACAGACGCAGCACTTTGTCAATGGCCGATTTGACTCAGATGCTGTCACGGCACTTTGTCGGTAACGATACTGATTGAACCTTAGCACACGAAAGTTGATCCATGGATGTTCCTCTCAACTCCACGAGGTCTTTTAAGAACTGCTGAAAAGAAGCTCTGCATAAAATTGCGCTTCTTCTGCACGTCTCCGCATTTCCTGCACAAGGGCCTATGAAACGAACGGCAAGTCTGTCAAACTGTACAAGAGGATGCCGACAGACTGTCTCCTCATACTCTTGTCGAGCTCTCCATGCTGCCTGCACTGTCCCAGCAGCTAAGACTCACACACATCGTTGACGAGAGCAGCGGAATGTTTCACTACTGACTCAATGCCTCGTCCGTGAAGCCGAAAGGCTTGCCGCTCATTCCTGTTCCTGCGAGTAAGATTGGACGGACACGGGTGTATTCAAACAAGAGTCACATCTCCAAAGCTTCCGGGCCTCCGGGCTGCCCAGTTCGGCTGCGGTACATCCACGCAACTCGAGGGTCGGGTCCCGATCGCCTTACAGCCGATGAGCATAAATCTCCCAAGTGGGAAATTGCAACCACCACCAATCACCTCTAACTTCTGCTACGTAGGTTTCTTGAAAATTGTGAGGTCTTCGCTCTGCCATCCAAGGTTCGGCCCACGATCAGGGGGAGCTATCTGACGATCGTACTCACGACGCTTATCGTCGTTGGATAGAACCTCCCATGGGACGACGGAACTGTGACATGGAAACAATGTGGTGTCACACAGTTTGCTGCCCACCTCGTAGGCATCCCGAACCTTTTGGAAGCTCTGCTCAGCCCCAGCTGCCTTGCATCGGGGAGAAATAGGCACAAACGCGGAAAACCCACCGACGTGGAAATAGGGTCTAGCTAAACAATACAAACGCACAAACAGATGCGGTTTGTGTGATTTATGTGGCCTTGTTGACATCTGGATGCAGCTGCTTCGCCAGCCGTAGGTACCTGGAAAGTAGAAGTTCCGTGTACAAGCACCAGCTACCATGTTCGACAGCTTCCGAAAAACATGACGCACCAACCTGAGGACCTAGTGGCTGTCGTACAGACAACCCACGCCAGCAAGCGCACGCCAAACGAATGGTTTCTTTGGATGCGGATCGTGGCACACCCAACGCCTGATAGAATGCACCTCGGCCAGCGACTTCGGGATGGCATAGATGACAGAAGTTTAATTTAAACAGCAACAACGGGATGAATTCCAAAAAACCGAGGCTGGCACACATTGCTTCACCAAAACCACATTGAGGCACAAAAAGTCAACATTAACGTGCTTGCAATCGGTTTGCGACAACGTACACGGGTTCAGCTGTAGTCATGTGTTGCTGCAAGGACACGTCATGTAAAACTTATGGAATATTTAACAAATATGTGTCCATACAGAATTCAGAGTCTCTACTGCAGGCAAAACTGCTGATGCAAGGTACGTATAACAGTCCAACATGCACTGTAAATCTGGCAAAAAGAAACGGAGCAGGAGGTGATAAGAGATGGAAAATAAAAATGGCCCGCAAGCTCCCAGCATCGCCACTCTCCGCAAGGGGTCCGCGACGCTGAATAGTTACACAAGCCAAGATGCAGCTGTTCCGTGATGCACGCTTTGCTGTATTGGTGTGGCGAAAGCTACTCCCACAATGCGTTCGGAACCAGGATGAAACACGGATGGCTGATACGAGCAGGAACAAGCAGTGCTGGTGCTGGCATAACACCAGGTCCGAATCCAACATTTGGACCTGCTCTAGGATGTTAGCACTACTCGTGTTATTTTGCAGTTGGCAAGGAGAAAGAAGCTGCCGATGGTGTGACGATTCTGGAATGGCCGCCGAAGCTCTTCATCTGGATTTTCTCGCTGGGACAGTTCACTAACCTTTGTCCTGACAATCCCACAGGCAGGAAATCCAAATGGACAACAAAAACCCGGTTCAATGGGATACCAGAACATCCATGCGCGCTTCAGTTCAATTCAGTTGAGGATTGGAGGGACTCTTGAACCAATTTTCTGGAAGCTGCCATTCGATACTTGCTTGGAAGAAACGGTCTCGGACTCAAACGACACACAGTACACGGAGTCTATGGGTGCACATTAAACTTTGGGTCGAAAACGCTCAACTTCGCTCCAAAACGGCAACTTTGAGCAAGATACGCAACTGTAACCTCAAAAAAGCTTTGCTCCAAACAGCTTCTTGGATTACAGACAACTGTGAAACGTTCTAGAGCGAAAAAACGCTCAACTTCGCTTCAAAACGACCTCTTTGAACACGACGCAAAAGCAGAAGCGTTTTCTAAAGGCAAAATACGGTTCAACTTGCTTCGAAAGTAGCGTCGACGTTGTATCCAAACGGACACAACCCTCGCCTTCGACTATCATGCTGGAAAAACCATCTCCGCAAAAGCGGGATATGGAAGAAAGAAGTTGTTGGACCAAGAAAACAAAACAAGTCAGAAAGCAGCCTCTTCGGTTAGAGAGAATAGAAGGCTCTGATTTCATCAAGCTTCACCCAGACTTGGATTCAGAGCATCTAGTGACGGTTACTACATGGGCACTGCGCGGTCACTAGCTATCAAATTTGATTTATTTTCCCGTAAATCGGGTTTACGTTTGATTTAATAAAGAGCCAAAAGGTTTCAACTGCTTCATGTTTGCCGTAACAATGATTGAAGATCGGAGTCAAACCGAACGATTTCCGGAACGAACCAGGCAGCAATCGGAACGAAACCAGGCGGCAACCGGCACGAAGCCAAGCACCTGAAATTTTTGTTGGCATCAGAAATGGTCAAAGTTGGCATCTTGGCCACTACTCCAGTCACTACGATTGCGTTCCAGATTTGGTTTCATAAAGGTTCTCAGCCGAATATCGGTTAGCATCTAGAAATGGGCTCAGAGTCGCTTGGAGTTGCTTGGATTGTCTCGATTCCCTATAAAACCGACCAGCAACAAAGTCGATGGAACGTGGATTGACATGCATGATGCTCCAGTTGCGTTCAATGCTCGGAAATATCATATGCTGGAA